TTGAAAAAAGAAAAGAAATACTTTTCCTGATGCAATCTTACATTGCCCCCTTCATCCCTTCTAGGTTGACGAGAAGTTGCTTCCAGCTCTGGCGGCCACAGACCCCCTTGTGCTGCCGAGTGCAGACCAGCCCACTGCGTCCGGCTCAGTCCCGGCTCACTCCTCCACCAGCGCCAGCGATGACCTCAGCCTGCTGGCCCACATGACCAGCTGCGGCTCCAATCTAACGCAGACCCAGAGCCACTCTTCTGGGGACCTTCCGGAGGACGGGCCCTTCGAGATCCAGAGCCCTCTTGCTGACATCAGCTCGATTGCTGAGGCTGAGAGCCGAGCCCAGATCCAGGAAACACTGAGATCCGATTTCCCAGAGGGAGAGGGCACATCCGGCCCAGAAGGAGAGGCCGCGGGGCTTAAGACTGGGGGGGACACAGCCAGCACCACCTCTGATACAGAGAGGTCAGATGACGGGAAAGACAAGGACACAAAGAAGATCCAAACTACTGCGACCACCCAGGTGTGTTTACGTGTGCACATCTGTCTGATCGATGTTGTTCACGCACGAAATAGGTTTCTGGTTTATTTCTAATTGCACTGATTGTGGGCTGCAATTGTGCATCTCTCTAAACTGTAATGCAGCTACAGCCCATACTTTGAAAAGTTTATTTATCAAACAAAATAAACGTTGGTTTTGATAGTCAAAAATGTGTACAGCATCATTCTGTTCCCTTTCTTCTAAAAAGAAACTAACAACAAGCCTTCTCCAACCTTTAGGCCACCGCTGCCACAATGTGATTGCTGTCTGTGTCGATTAACTCAAAAAACAGCAGAAAACCAGAGTGGGCGCCCACATAGAAACTAATACGATAAATGAAGAATGCAGGATAAGAAGTCCCAGAGAGTCATCTGTGGTTTCTCCTGTATGCATGCCAAGTCTTCTTCATGACGTCTACCAATCTTTGACTCCGTGTTGCAGGCCCTCCATGGTCGCACAGCGGCCCAGCTGGAGCGCGACCTACGTGTTGACCTGGGCTTCAGGGGCATGCCCATGACGGAGGAGCAGCGGCGGCAGTTCAGCCCCGGCCCGCGCACGACCATGTTCCGCATCCCAGAATTCAAGTGGTCTCCAATGCACCAGAGGTTACTCACTGACCTGTTATTTGCCCTGGAGACTGACGTGCACGTGTGGAGGAGGTGAGCTTAACGAGCTTATAACTACTAGAACCTATGCCTGGGTTTCAGGGCAAAGGTGGTGATCACACATACTCAATTATTAAATTGGATTGGTCTGAGGATGTCCAGAGAATGACTCGACACTTGAATTTCTAAAACTGTATTTTGGTCATACTTTCGATTCTTTATCTTCTATTTCAGCCACTCCACCAAGTCTGTTATGGATTTTGTGAACAGCAACGAGAACATCATCTTTGTCCACAACACGATCCACCTCATTTCTCAGATGGTGGACAACATCATCATCGCCTGTGGAGGTATCCTGCCTCTCCTGTCTGCTGCCACCTCCCCTTCTGTAAGTGGCTCTACTCTGCACCTCTGTGGTGGGAGGGAAAACTGCAGGTCAACAGCTGCCTCACAGGCCTGTGACTTCAAAAAAAACCTGCTGATTCTTATTCCCCCCCAAGCTCAGGGCAGAACTTATCTTCAATGATTGACTAGGTTGAATATTTTTTTTAAGTACGTAATGTGAAATCATAATAGATCTTACATTTCTTTTGTGGCATAGATCTAAAGTTGTAATTTTAGATTATAATAAAGTTCTGTTTAATTTGCACTTTTTCTGGGTTGCTCTCATCTTTATCTCCATTAACTGTGTATTATTCAAGGTTTGATATAATTACCAATCTATCTAATTTGATAGTTTGATAATCTATTTGCTTTATTCATCTTTTCTTTTCTTTCCTTTTCCTCTCTGTGTTACATGTTTTCTGTGTATTTTCTTGTCTCTGTTTTTGTCTGTTTTTCGCATTTGTGCAGAGTTCTAAGAATAGTGCCAACACTGTAAGTTGCAGTTTCTTTCTCGTTTTTCTATTCTACTAATACTTTGTTCTGGTCTATTTACCGTTGTGACTGACACTAAACCTTGTTTGTCTGGCATTCATAGTGTTTCTATTTGTTGTGCTTCTTTGCTGCTAATCAATACTCCCCCTTATGCTGTTTGTATCTATTGACCGCTCTGTCTCAGTGTATCTAGCTGTTAAAGTTAGAGGAACTGTATACTGAACTCGATACGCCTTTTATAGAGACATACGCTGTATAATATTCTAAAGTGGTAAGAATATTATACAAATAAGGGGGAATGAAAAATGTAAAAGGCCAAATTGATGATCCAAAATCTTTTTAGAGGTGGAAATAGATGTCTTAGGACAGAAAAAGCATGACGGAGTTCCATAAGTCCATGGGGGTTGCAACTGCTAAGCCTGTCCCATTTGTATCAACACTAAAGAAGGCAGGAGGAGCCGTACCCCAGAGGGGGTCAAAGGGAGAGGAGGTGACCCCTGTTCCTGGGGGAGGAGGCGCAGGGGGAGAGGTGCGTAAAGAACCTAAGACTCCCACCATCACCGGAAGAGCTAAGAGCACCAACCCAAGTCCCTCTGTCCTCACCTTGTGTGTCTGTTATTCCCCAAATGTCTGTGCTGACTTGCTCCAGTGAGCCTCAAGATGCTTGCACTTTGTCGACTCTCCACAGGCCTGCACACCCTGCCTACTGAAGCAGAGACAAAGCAAACCACAAACTTGGTTTGCAAGTTTTAACCCCTGCTTTGCCGCCTTCAGATTTACCGTAGATGTACTGAACATTTGATACGTTGGTCGGTGTCAACAAACGGGGGATTTTCTTTAATCTGTCATGAGATGCATTCGAGTTAAGCCTGTACATTGCTAGTGTCACGATCCTGCTGTTACCATTACCTGTGTGTCACGAGGCTGTACTTCCTGCGTGTTATCTAGAACACCTCACGGTGCCAGATTTCATCATATAAGTATGTATTTCACTTCAGCAGCATGATACCCGAGGTTGCGTTACCTGCTTGTCGGTACAACCGGCCATGACGGTTGTGGTCATGCTCACAAAGGACATGAGGAAACTTTGAACCACTACCAGTACTTTTCTGAAAGCAGTGAGAGAGAATCCATCAATTATTAATAACCGGCAAGCGTGTGTGTGTGTGTACTTATCCTTTTCCAGACGGAGCTGGAGAACATCGAGGCGACGCAGGGCATGTCTTCAGAGACAGCGGTCACCTTCCTGTCTCGCCTCATGGCCATGGTGGACGTACTCGTGTTTGCCAGCTCTCTCAACTTCAGCGAGATTGAAGCAGAGAAGAACATGTCGTCGGGGGGGCTGATGAGGCAGTGCCTCCGCCTGGGTGTGTGTCTAGTTTGATGTACTCGCTTCTGAGGAATGTTACTCTGGCGTTAGACTCACACACAGCTCCGTGGCTTTTTTTCAGTAGGGCCGCATCAAAAGTACCTCGGAGGGAGCCAAGAAACAGAAGCCAATAAATCATTTGAAGGAATTACACCCACCGAAATGTTATTATTCATGTAAAAAGCCAGCTCTAGTGTGAAATACTTAAAGGGTTCATCTCTTTTTTTGCTCCATCAGTATGCTGCGTGGCAGTGAGGAACTGTCTGGAGTGCAGGCAGAGACAGAGAGATCGAAGCTGCAAGTCCTCCTTAACCAGCAGCAAGTCTCAGGACAGCCTCCACAGTGCCTCCACCACCGGCAAGGTACCACACACTCAGATCCAATGCACATCACTATCACTTCACTTTGAATCGGACACAGAAACATGCACATGTGCACAGAACGCTCCACATTTGATTTTTTGTCTTCAATATTTAGCAGGATCCAGACAGACTCCTGCAGGATGTGGACATCAATCGTCTTCGAGCTGTGGTTTTCAGAGATGTGGTAAGCGTGTGTTTGTGTATGTTTTTTATGTACACGGTGCGTGCGTGTGGGTAGTGCAAAGGAAAAACATTTTTTATTTTGTTTGTGGGTTGTTTTCACTGAATACGTGTGTGTGTGTGTGTCCTTATTCTGCCATAGGATGACAGTAAGCAGGCTCAGTTTCTGGCGCTGGCAGTCGTCTACTTTATCTCAGTTCTCATGGTATCTAAGTACCGGGACATTTTGGAACCCCAGAGAGAGATTGGCAGGTCCACCAGTCTATCAGGGAGAAGCATCCGCCACGAGATAAACTCCCCTACCAGTACAGGTGATTCTTGATTTTCTCTTTGCAATATCCTCTACATTATAGAGTAATATTGGATGGTTTGGTGGTGACTCATCATTGTAGCATTTGTACAGTTATTACAGAAATACCTTTGTCAGGAATATGAGACAATTAGAGGATGAAAAATAGAAGACAGATGAAAGATGGGTGTTACTTGACAAAGAATTACCAGGAAGCAAATAGCTGACTGAATAAAAAAGGCATTTTACAAAGAGAAGCACTATTCTTTTGTGATTGTTGTGTATGTTGTTGCAGAGCACCCATCCACAGCCTTCTCTGACCGTGACAAACAGACCCCCACCCCCGTGGACGACTCCCCGCGGGTTGGCCTCCCCCACACTGACTCGGGCATCGGAGAGGAGGGCCACGTGGCCGGATCCCTGAACGGCTCGGAGATGGGTCTGGGACTGGGCCTCGGCCTGGTGGGGAGAGAGACAGATAGAGACAGAGACATAGGGGGAGGAGGCACAGATCTGCTGTGCAGTCTGTCTGATGTTAGGAGGTCACAGGAGAGCCTGCTGGATTCTCCTCACAACCCCAACTCCAGCCAAGCCCCGCCTTCGTCCATCTCCAGCATCAGCCAAACCAGCAAAGGCATCAATGTCAAGGTCGGTGTGTGCGTGTGTGTGTGTCCCATTCAGACCTGCCTGTCTGTATCCAGAGATAATACATCTGGCCCAAGGGGGTTTAGTCCACAGTATTGATTTTTCATGTAAAAAATCAATGTATCAATGTAATAATTTCAAATATAGTCTCAGTGATCAAGCCACATCTGTATTTTTAGATGTGTAGTTGCGGATCACCTTAAAACAGATTTTAATGCCGGTTCATTGTTTTCTCCTCAAATGCTATTTTACGTGCTGTTGTACAGTCAGTCATGCATCATTAAAACATGCACAAAGTTCTCACTCATGTACAGGGTTTGTACAAAGTCTAGAAAGTTTGGATTAATGCTTAAATTCTAATTGAAAAATACTTGATTTTCATCATAAATCATCTGGTGTTTAATCTACAACATCACTTATGTTAAGAAAATTCTTTTGATATTTGAAATAATATATAAAATATCAACATCATACATCGATGGCTGTGTGTATAAAAGCATTTCTGTAAACTACATTTTTTAGGATTGCATTTAAAGTAACCATTTAAAGTAACAATTATATGTGATGATGGCTTCGAGAGGCTGCAAATTTATGGTTTAGGTACCTTCTATAGTGCTTGACATTCACTACAAAAGCATTACGAACCCGGCAACAGCTAAAAATATATCATTCTGTCGACCTCCTCACAACTTGTGTCCTGTAGTGACCAGACTGCTTGTTCTCTCTGAAATGCAGGAGATCCTGAAGAGCTTGGTGGCGGCTCCAGTTGACGGCGGGGATTCGGGACAGGACTCCGGGCCGACGCCCTACCACCCCGACCCGGCGTTGAAGACGCACCCCATGCTGCCCATGCAGTTCCACTCCTTCGACAGGTCAGTCCCTCTTACTGTTTGACCTACAAGAAGCAGGAAATCAGACAGTGATATCATCAGTGATGTCATTAACAGCCTGACGAATCCACCAACTGACCAATATTTCCGGCCATTACTGATCTTGTTGTGATGCGTTTTTACTGCACTGCTAATTGTCAAATTGCTGTTCATCAGTTTGGGAGCAAAGGATACAGAAATCAATTAATAGATTAGTATACAGAAAAGGACCTCCCCCTTTGGATGGTAACATTTACAAACTTACATAATGCTCTTTATGCGTCAGCAGTCGTATTTATTTCTTTAGTGACAACAAATTAAACAACACACAAGAAACCGTTTAAAGTCAGCACTAAAGCTTATTCATTTCCTGAACTTATGCAGCACTAGATAAAGTTCTTTTTACTTGCAGTGATACTGCATTAATAAAACAAAGACATCGTTGATTTCCTTACGAAGAAAGAATCTCTAAAACCTTTATATGGAGAAAGATACTGTTGGTGAAGGGTAGTAACAGGACATGAAAAGACATAAACAAAGTTCAAAAGTTTCTTGTCCAAACTGTTAACATATAGACTCTCCACTGAGTGATTCTCTGTTTTTATCTTCTGTGCATCACTTAGTCTCCTTGATCCTACACTGTGGCAGTCCTTGATAGCTAAGCTATTGATCGAAGACCGTGTGCATAATAGATTGCGAATGGCTCCATATCCATTTCCGCGATGTCTCCCTAATGTATCTGTCTGGCCCGTGCAGACAGGCATGTACATCTGATTCACAGGAATGAATGGCAAATGCATAGTTACTACCTAAATGCTCTGGACAAAACAAAACAAAAATGTTAGTTCTTATGAACCATAGCTGCTGTGTGGCCACCATCCCTTACAACTAAACCTTAATATAGAAATAAGATGTGGTGAAAATTATTCTGTTGCTGCACAAAGCATAAGCATATTGTGCTTTTCAAAAGGTGTGATATACATTTTGTGATGATAACACTTCAGAGGTTAAAAACTAATTTTCCAAACAAAGGCCAGATTTATTTTATGCAACGTGGAACACCGCGAGTCTCAGTTGCCAGCGACCAACACTCCGATCCAATGTATCGCTGACCGTTCGTCTGACGCCTTTTGCATCCCACCTCCCTACAGGAGTGTGATGGTTCCAGTGAAAAAGCCGCCACCTGGCAGCCTGTCCGTCAACACGGTGGCCACGCCCACCACTAGCGGAGCAGCAGGCGCCGGCAGCACGCCCAACATTTTCGCAGCTGCAACAGCAACACCCAAGAGCATGATCAACACTACAGGTGAGAGATAGATAAACGCGTATGTTGCTCACAACACGTCTAAATCTATCACCCCTTTTTGCACAGTATCTTATTTTATAAGAGGCAGCAGACAGACGCTTTGTTTGTGTGAAAGGCCTCGAGCCATTTGAAGGCTACTCCATGAAGCAGAGTTGTATTTCCCTCCTAAGAAAACCTTTTGACACACTAGCGTAGACACCGTCTGATCCAATTTCACAACAGATGTTTTCACGATTTGTTCTGGACTATTTCTGGGGCCGGATCCAGATGAATGAAGACCGTAGAGCAAGTGTTAAATATCTTGGGCATTGACGAGACCGCTCATTTTATGAACTCTCCGATGCCCGAACAATGGACCCTTATAAGATTTGATAGTCCACAGAGGAAAAAAGCTGAATACGAGAAAAACCTAATTTAGATATTCTTACACCCATGGCGGAAACAAGATAAAAATGAAATACACATCAGTTGACTTGCAGATCGGTGCTGTTTCCATGCAGCATCATACTCAGCAGATTCATTGTATCATACATGCATAATAGAGAAGAAAAGGATTTGTTTCCCGGAGCGGATTCGGTATATTGATCACAAAGCTAATTTCACAAACAGGGGCCATTACCAGGAGACAAGCAGCAGCACGTCCGGTGAAATACTATCCAAATTCAATTTGGTCGCAACCGACCGGGACATTAATACATTTATTTCATTGTTATCCTGCGCGATAATCTTGCTCACGCTGGATTCATGTCCCAATAATGCTCGTCTTACTTTCATCACTCTCAACTTCCCTCTCGTCCTCTCTAGGTGCCACAGACTCTGCCTCCTCTTCCTCCTCTTCTTCTTCGTCCTTTGTAAACGGCGCAACTAGTAAGAACCTGCCGGCGGTGCAGACGGTGGCCCCGATGCCAGACGACACAATGGAGAATATGAGGTCAGAGCTCCCAACACGACAGAGCTCTTTATCCCTTCAACCACTCACTTTCCTGCCGCTTTCTTTTTTTTTTTTTCTACCTTTTTGGCTTTATGTTTTTACGTTGATTTGTCTGTTTTTTCCAGAGCGCCTATCGTTTTTTTTTACCACTTCATTCCTGTCGCTCATTTACTTCACATTTGGGGCTTCATCATTCCCAAAATATTCTCATTAGCGGCTCATTCTCACAGTCACTGATGCTACACAGCAGAGCCAGATTGGGGTCAACTGAGGCGCAGCCACATGCTTATTGAATCACCTTAATTAATCATCACTTTTAAAGAATGTCGGCTACAGCGTAGACACTCACATGTTTAGAATACTTAACCCCCATTTTGAATTTGATTACATTTCAATTGACTCCGATATTGTACTTGATGGTGATATCGACTAATAATATTCTTCTTCTGAAATATAACAAAAACTACTCAGCCTTTGGGAATTCACATTCATATTTTCTGCTCACACCCGATCAAACCGCCCACACCTCTCACTCAGCCTACACTGTAGCACACTTCATCCCTGACATGACACTGTGTGTTAATGTCACAATTACAGCACAATGAATGTGAGAATATTCAGCCGTCTCGCTGGATTGCTTTAAAATAAATATATGTAAATGTGATCGTCATAGACGTGTTTTCATGCCTTGTATAGACATCTGACACCAAGTTGTTCAAGAAATAGCATTACAATAAGAAACATTTATGTTGTGCTCTCTCCTTAGACGTGTCAGATGTAACGTGTGGATGATAATGACGCGTGTGTATGCGTGTGATGGGGTTTGTATTGCAGTGCCTACTGTGAGGTGGCGCAGTGTGCGCTCCGCAGCGGTCAGACGCCTCCTGAGCTCAAGTCTTTTAGCTCCCTGGCGGGCTTCCAGGCAGCTCCCCGAGACGCAGGACAGTGTTTTAGGCAAGGAGACCCAAACCCCCACCCTCCCCCCACCTCTACCAAACTCCCGCTTATGGCATGGCCGACTCCTCACACACACACACAACCACAAACTCAAGATCAGACCTGAGTCAGCAACTATCTGCGCAAATAACAGCAACACTTGAAAGTGCAGCATTCCTGTTTAAACTTTTAGCTATAACTTTTTAAAATGTCACCCTTCTGCTCCTCAGAGCAAAACTAAGACTTTGTAAACACTAGGGACCCAGGTCTGTTTCAGAAGAAGCATTTTACCCACACAAACAGCAGCACTTTCATTCTGTAGCAAGTCCAGATAGAATACATACCACCTTTTTCTATTTGAGCTTAAAGAAAGGAGACATTTTTAACACAGCGTGTTCGCTTTCATCTCCACCCATCCAACAATGGCGAGGTGATATTCTATTATCTTTATTCTTCTCTGTTTGCGCTCCACAGCATCACCACCAAGCTGGAGCGCGCTCTGGAGAAAGTGGCTCCTCTGCTGAGGGAGATATTTGTGGACTTTGCTCCCTTCCTGTCCAGGACGCTGCTGGGTAGCCATGGGCAGGAACTGCTCATAGAAGGTACAGGTGCTGTACACGGCTCCTTTTTTTCTCACTGGCGTCTCTCTGTGAAGTCTCCCCATTCACTGTCCCTCACCGCGGCCCTTGTGTATGAGAAAGGCTGTGAGAAAGTGAGCGGACGGGTGGGCGCGAGCCGCTGTGCGGTTCGGGTGAGAGTCCGCGAGCGGGTGAGTGAGTGGGCGAGTGTGGTTGAGCTTGGCTGCTTCACTCATCCGTCGAGCAGGTATGAAGTCAGTATTCACTGCTATTTTCAAAACAGCTAGCTGGACAACTGTTCTTGTACATCAGATTATGGTCAGTGTTAGTATTAATACTACTGCTATTATAGTACTGTACTACATGTGATACTTTGTCCCTCTGCCCACTCGCTTCCTGGTGTCCTGTTTTTGTGATCCACTGTCTCAATGTTGATCTCTTCCTCTCCTCTCCTCATCCCTCCCCCCGCTCTCCTTTCTCATGTTTCTCTCTGCTGTTTGTCCCGGTCTTCTCTGTGGCATGCTATTTTTGTGAGCCCGACTACGATTACTGTACACGACAGCAGTAACCGCCGACACTTGAGTGTAATTCTTTGATGATATTTTCGGTGTCTGCGGAGGTGTGTGTGCGCGCAGGTGTGTGTCAGAGAAAAAGGAGGAGAGGCTCCTGACTGTGCTGTATGTCTCTGTGCTGCAGGTCTGGTGTGCATGAAGTCTAGCACGTCTGTGGTGGAGCTCGTGATGCTGCTGTGTTCTCAGGTTGGTTCCCCTTCCGCCTCTGCTCTCGGCCTCTGTGTTTACCGTCTTCACACGTATGATCCACTTTGCTCCTCAGCCGGAGCTTACCACCTATGTCTTTAGTGTATCTAGTTTTGAACCCATTCTGAAGAGCTTTTTTTCTTGTTTTTAGACCCATAACAACGGCTGAGTTGTTGTAGTTATTGACCAGCCCTGTGAGGCAGTGCCCATGCAGCGCCGATGTTGTATAATATTGACTATTCATCGTCACACCATCGTTTCCCCTCACCTCAACAGCAAAGTCACAGGCATATTCTTCCATGTCACTCACATGCACATAAACCTTTCTGATCACAAAGGCTTCACCGCTTAATTATTGTTTCTATGAGACTTCCATTCAAAGCCAGTATCTTTATATTCTGTGATAACACATAAGACAGGATGACAACAGAGAGGGACTTACCGCTGGTGCAGGCGCAGGTGACCGGCCTTTTTCTTTTACATTACAAAGTCGATCTTCCACCTATATTGTCTATTTCTTTGGCAGCCCCAAAGATCTTTTGCTTTGACACCCCCCCCCCGAGTCCTTTCCTTTTTCTCTCCAACTCTACTACGACCGTCGTCTCCACTTCCTTCTCTCTTCTGCTACCACCTCGCACCAATTTAACAGAGTGTTTCGGTGGAAACTGCTTTCATCTTCTACCAGTGTCCACGCCGCCGCGTCCTCTCGCCGCTCCCTCTCTATTCCCCGCCCCTCCAATCTCCTGCCGGGCTGCTCGTCAGCATGTATAGTATTACCCCTGGCTCCGGCCTCGTCTCCCATTAGATGCCCAGGAGAGCCGAACCCCGGCCCAGATATCGATCCTGTGGATGAGGCGGCTGTAACCTGAGATCCCACATGTCCTTGATAGCCTTGAGAGCTGGTGGAGCTAATGGAGCGCTGATATTTTGAGGCTTTTAGCAACACTCTCGTCCTGCTCAGAAGTCTCCCCTCTAATATGCACAGACACATTAAACACTTTTGGACGGACGGGTGCGTTGGAAAGCTCTTAAGGGGTTTCTTATTCTTTGCAGTTTTGTACTAGCAAACCTTTTCAATAATGTTGGTACATACTGGTAATCTGTGTTTCCTCTTTTATTAATCAAATTTTTTTATAACTTTGATATTCACTGCCGCTTCTTACATGCCGCTAAGCTGATTAGCCTGTGACAATATTTACTGGGAAACCATAGACAAAGGGATTTTACTACACTGTTTAATCCCGCATAGTTTTGGGAACCATACACAATTTTCATTTGGCCATTGTGGACCATGTTGCAAAAGGATAAGCAGGATTTATTTTGTAGCAATGTTGAGTTCACAGGATTTTTGTGAGACGGTATAGTGAGTTGTCTGAATGTCAGCCTACAATGATGAATTCATTTTTAGTTTTCATCCATACGACACAGTTGTAACCCATAACATATTAGTCATCATTTCTCCTCTACTCTTAGGAGTGGCAAAACTCCATTCAAAAGAACGCTGGACTGGCTTTCATTGAGCTCATCAACGAGGGGAGGTAATGTGATTTACACGTGCTTAGCTACTGCAGGTATTGGCTGTGTTAGATCCCCAGTGATAAGTTTAGCAGGATAAGTGCACAGTACCACGTGAGTTCAGTAGGATGTCCAATTGTTACAATGAAATTTACTGTGCATTTAATTAGCTCACGTATAATCTTATAATCTTGCCTGTTTTACTTCAAACTGTATTGTACAAAATTTATTTTACAAAATATTTCTACTAATAAGCCTCAAGGAGCAGATGGAAACCCCTGTTGATTGTTTTGTAAATTGAGGTCTCTCTATTGCCTGTAATGTTTGTCGCTCTCTTCAATCCCTCACCAGACTTCTGTGCCACGCCATGAAGGATCATATTGTGCGTGTTGCCAATGAAGCGGAGTTCATCCTGAACAGACAGAGGGCAGAGGATGTACACAAACATGCTGAATTTGAGGTAACACGATATATAAGTGTCATATCATGATATTTCTCGTTAAGGCCTTCTGGTTGTAAGTCACATGACGTCTATAATGTGTAATGCTCATAGTCGTGTCGATTTTTACCTCCCACTCTGTTGCAGTCTAACTGTGCACAGTACGCTGCAGATCGGAGAGAGGAGGAGAAAATGTGCGATCACCTCATCAGCGCCGCCAAGCACAGAGATCATGTAACCGCTAACCAGCTGAAACAGAAAATCCTCAATATCCTGACCAATAAGCACGGAGCGTGGGGGACAATGTCACAGAGGTGAGGGGGACATGCGAGGAACTTCGTGTTGAATTGTCCCATGGGATGTTTTTAGATTCTGGTTCCTCAGGATCATTTGACAGCAGAAGTTACACCGGCTCACACACAGAGCTGTTCTTGCATGTGATGAGAAAATGAAATTAGTATGTGTAGTGATTATTAAGTCGGTACTATCCGTCACTATAGCACCGTCACTGTAGATTATTGTTGTATTCACTCCATATATTCCTATAGCTAGTAGAGTAGCTTCACACTGTCAGGATATCGACCGGAGGACTCGAGCGCATACCGAGGTTTTAACAAAAATGACTTTCAATAAATCAATAACATGCCAAGAAAACATCCAAGCACAAGTCAAGGTCACAGTGTAAATCAAGAATAACAAGCAAACCGACAACGAGATAAGGTACCCGCGTGGCTTAAATACTCGTGCAGGTGATTGGACACGGGTGGGTGCACTCAGGGACGCGGCAGATTAAAAAAGGGGGAAAGCACACTAAGGGATGAAGTGAACTAAACCCAGTGACAGTGAGGCAAATGCAAAATAAAACAAGGACAAACCAACACCGTGACACACATCACAGACGCAGAAAATCAGATTTTTTTAAAAAGATAAAAGACTTTTAAAAAGGATGACATTCTTCGTGCGAGCAATGCTTCATGAAGCAATCAGGATTTATCTGATTATATTTCATTGTGCAGACATTTCTCTGTATGTGCATGTATCGACTTCAGCTCACTCACTGAATCCTGAAGCCGTTGCTTCCCGGTAGCTGTTCAGGACGCCTTATTTCGCCCACTCAGATGCAAATGAAATCAATGATTGCTTGTGATCCGTCACCAGACTTTGAATCCCAATTGCATCATTGCACCTTGCTTTTTATCTTCTTCTTCATAATTCATCTATCAAACTTTCCGTTGCCTTTCAGTTTCTACGACATTAGCTTCCTTTCTAACGGTGTTCGTCTCTCTCTATAACATTTTCTTTAATTGTAAGGAGATGCATAGATCTGGGCCTTTATACCTTTATTACTTTGTTATTAAATTAAATAAATTATTGTATTGCTTTATTGTTTAGCTAATGTTCATCAACAATATCTGCATTCATGTGTGGATAATTCTGTTAAAATTAGTTACCCGTTATCATTGTGAAGGTGTAAATTACACTGACAGGGAGCTGCAGTATCGGTCAATGTCGCAGCCTCTCAGGCTTAATTGCTGTCATGACCTCTGTGTGTGCGAGCTAATAATATAGACGACTTGCCTGAATATAAAATCACTGAGGCAAACTGAAGGCGTTAGCGGACAACCGAGTCCCAATTAAGAATGTTAACCATACTCTGACAGACCACGTCGTTAAGTCCAGACACTTATAATCCGAAGCCATTAATAAACTGATCAGGTTATGTCTGCAGTCGGGTCGGCGATATTGGTCTGGTCATGTCATATAATTGAGCTCTATGTGGCGGCTGGACGTGACGAGGGAAAGCCATGATCTGTTTGGAGACCATTAATAAGGGAAACAAACACGCACCTTTTTGATAAGAAACAACATCAGTCAAAATCACACACAATGTGTTGTGTTCTTCTTTAGTCGAAGGTAAAACAACACCGACGTGGTGGCTTACAGTGGGACACACGATGCTCGCCCCATTTACATTAATGAAACTGCCACCACTGGAAAATGATAACACTGTCATAATGAGTCTCTCGTAGTTCCTCTGTCAGAAAATATAATGGTGGCAAAATTCCATTATTGGATTTTTTTTAAGAAACCACTTATTTGTAGTTCGAGAGTTGTAAACATTTGCCAATCTCATCCTGATGTCAAAATTCCACCCTTCAACCCAATAACGTGGAACCTATCGATTGTAAAAATGAATTCAGTAGCAAATTGTCCCAGCACAGATTTCAAACGTAACTTGAGATAGATAGATAGATACTTTATTGATCCCTCAAGAGGGAAATTTTGGTATCACAGCAGCATGTACAGGGAAGAAAATAGAATAAAAAGATACACATTATATACAATGTAATAAGAGAAATATTAAACTAATAAAATAAAATAAAATAAACTGAAACAAAAGAATAACCTTCCAAAAGAGACAATAATAATAATTTGTAAAAGGAGAAGAGTAAAAGGAAAGAGCAGCAACATAACAGCAGTACAGGGTTGTTATTGTCATTATTTAGCCTGGGATGATTTATTTATATAAGTGTTATTGCACTGGGCAGGAATGATCTCCTGTATCTGAAGGAGTCTGTTGGAGAACGTGCTCCGCTGTCCCTGTAGCAGGTGGTGGAGGGGGTGGTCAGGATTATCCAATATGGATAACAGTTTCTTCAGTGACCTCCCCTCCAACACATTTTCCAAGCTGTCCTGTTTGCAGCCAATGATGGAGCCGGCCTTCTTAACAAGTTTGTTAAGTTTAACTCAAACCTTATCACTCATCTGTCTTCCTCTTTTTAATGTCTCCAGCCAATTACATGACTTCTGGCGTCTAGACTACTGGGAGGACGACCTCAGGAGGAGAAGGAGATTTGTGCGAAATGCCTCTGGATCCACTCACGCCGATGTGTCACTGAAAGCTCTGGAGGAATACGGTCGGTAACGGCGCACGGATGGAAGCGTGTTGTAGTTGGTGCGAGCCGCCTCTTGGCATACAGTCAAGCTTCACATGCAACTGAAAACCAGGCCTTTTAAAACAGGTACAGAAGAAGAGGAGGAGGAGCTGAAATCTAAGAAAACTTTCCGCAGCCAATCTGTGGTCACGCAGAACCCGGAGGCGGAGCTAATGCTGGAGGGAGACGACGACGCCGTCAGCCTTCTGCAGGAAAAAGAGATTGATAACCTTGCTGGTAAGATGCCCTCACATAAAGACACACACACACACACAGTCCCCATACTACAGTACCACTGAACAGTAAACTGTCTGACTCTTATTTTTAGTACGTTTCCGTCCCAGACTTTTTACTTCCAAAGGCAAGTCATTTGATAGTTTTACAGCGGCACTAACCATCCAGCTGATTTATCTGAAATCATCATTTACTAAAAAAAACATGCAGGACCAAATACTCTGTTTAATCCAATAGTTCTCCTCTGACTTCTGACCCAGCTGATGGTCCGTTTACCACACTAAGCAAAGTAGAATAAGGAAATTAACAACCAACTAACAAGAAATCACTCTGATGACGGAACGAGTGCTTACAAACTGCCGGTTATGTGTGATGATAACTGTCCGTCAGCCCATCAGTGCCATGCATGCCTGAAGGTGTAACACCTGAGGAATACATTTGCTCCTCAGGCCCAGTGGTTCTGAGTACTCCAGCTCAGTTGGTGGCCCCGGTGGTGGTGGCTCGAGGCACTCTGTCCATCACTACTACTGAGATCTACTTTGAGGTGGATGAAGAGGATCCTACATTCAAGAACACCGATGCCAAAGTAAGGCCAGC